TGCCCTGCTGCAGGGCTTGTAGGATGGGAGCAGCCACCTGCATTGGGCTGGCGGGCCTCGCTGCAGGTCCCAGGGTGACACCTTGCCAGCGTGCTGCCCTGGGGGCCGAGCCCACATCTTGGGGGCAGAGCGCTTGGCAGGGGTGTTTGGGGTGCAGGTGATGATTTCAAGCGACCAAAGCCTGAGAGTTTGTGATTAGAACCTTTTTGGTGACTGATGCACCCCAAACTAGGTGGTACCCGTGGTATTTGAAAAGCCCCTGAAATGCAGAGGGGGCGTCTGCCAGCTTTCTGTTAACCACAGGGTCTCTCCTGCAGGCTGGACCATTATGCCATTATCAAGTTCCCTCTGACCACAGAGTCGGCGATGAAGAAGATTGAGGATAACAATACTCTGGTTTTCATCGTGGATGTCAAGGCAAACAAGCACCAGATCAAACAGGCTGTCAAGAAGCTGTACGATATCGATGTGGCCAAGGTCAACACACTGATTAGGTGAGAAGAGGGAGAGAATAGGTCACTGGTGGGTGTGAGGTGCTTCAGGAGCCCAGAGTGGCTTTTAGCAGGAAATGGGAGCACGTGTGAGTTTCAGCAGATGTGGCTGCTCTCAGGGATTGAGCTCTGCAGCGTATTGAGTGTTAAAAGTGTTGAGAAATGGAACTTGTGACTGAGCACATCTTAGTGGAAGTGGGAAATGTTTGGCAGACCGGAGGGTCAGCTTGCTCAGGGAGCTTTTCTAACACCCAGCGAGCCTTGTGCAAATGATGTGAACGTTTTTTTTACCACTGAGTAAAGTGATGTTTCCAAAGGAACCACTGATGCACACTGCTGTAGCACGAAGGGGGAGCAGGTGGGAGGAGCTGTGTGCCTCTCTGCTGATGCCTCCTGTTCCTCTCTAGGCCTGATGGGGAGAAGAAAGCTTATGTCCGACTGGCTCCAGATTACGATGCGCTGGATGTAGCCAACAAGGTGAGAAATCTTTGAAACTTGGCAGCTCCCGTGGTCTTGTATCTTCTGCACCCGGTTCTTCCTGGTGTACAGGTGAAGTACTCGTGCTTCCAGCGTGGTGGCGCTTCTGTGGGGTGTCCTGGTAGTCAGACAGGCTGCGAGTGTTGAGGAGCAAGCCCACGTTGTCTAGCAAACTGCCATTCTGCCTGGAAGATCCCAAGGTGAAGTGGGAAAAGTTACTGAGAGAGAATTGCTGCTGTGCTTCAGCTCCTCCAGCGAGGGGCTCCACTCCACAGAGCTCCGGAGGATTAACGGGAAGGATGCAGAAACTGCCCTGCAGAGCCTCTGCATGGAAACCTTGGCCAGGGCTGCTGGCAGCTGGCTCGAACAGGGGAGGTGATGGCAGGGGCACCGCTGCGCTGCCGGCCTGGGGGAAGGAGGGGTTTCTACTGAGGAAGTGGCTGTGTGGCTGGAAGTGGCAGAGAGTTTTAAGTCCTCGAGGTGGTTGAGGTAGGCAGGAGGCAGCAGTGGTATAAATAGGAGTAGAGCAATGTGGCTTAGCACGAGGGTCACTGGAATAAGTGTTGTGTAAGGCCCTGGGCAGGTCTGGGGGGAAGGAAGCTGTCCCCAGAGGACAGGAATCCTGGGGAGATGCAGCCGTGGCAGCGATGTCTGTGGTGGAGGCTCTGCCTTTTCACCAGTGTCACCTCTGTTTTAACGTGCTTTGCTTCTTTCCAGATTGGAATCATCTAAACTGCGTCTACCGAGGACTGTACAGACAGGATAATAAACCCTGTGACACCACTGAGGGGCTCTTGTGGTTTGTGACAGCATAGCCCATGTGAAAGAGAGCGCTCAGCAAACTTTTCGGGCTTCATTTTAGGAAAGGGGGTTCCTCCCTCCCTTCCTGGCGCTAGATGGGCAGTGCTGATGGGGTCTCCTGGGTCACTGACCTTTCTGCTGCGGGTAAATATGAGGTGACGCTCCCTCAAATCTCAGATATTTACCTGAGAGCTCTGTATTTTGTTGCCCTGTGTGGTGAGCATGTGTTTGTGATCGGTGTTCGGTGTCCTACGTAGCTGCCCCGTAGAGCACACCGCAGGCCCATGAGTAGGCAGGTAGTAACCACCACAAAAACGTGGTAGTGGTTCAGATCTGGCACAAGCAGAGTGTCACACCCTTTCCTGAGCGTATCAGCTCCACCTGACGAACACCTCGAGCTGCTGCCATCGTGGGGGCTTTGTGGGGGCGTTTTTCTGGCGCCATCCCCGCTCCCCGCGCTGCAGCGTGTGAATCACAGCCCTGGCTGTTCCTGTTGGGCTGCCTGCAACCTTACACAGGGTTCACAGCCCTCACCAGGGCTGGTCCCAAACTGGCTGCTCTTGCTGCCTCGGCAGCCTTTTGCTTCCTCAAATCTGTAGATGAAACTGGCTTTTGAGAGCTCTTGGGGAGTCACGAGAATGTGGAGCGCTGGGGGAGCAGGGAGTGGTGGTGAAGTACAGGTAAGCCTTTAGGGGTACTTCAGATCATCTTAAGTGTGTACTTAACGCTCGACTGAGGTGGTGAAAGCCGTGACCAAATATTGATCAGGGTAATTGAGCTCTTGGGCAGTGGGACACCAAGCTCCTTCGTGCCTCTTGCAGGGAGTGACGGAGTGATGGAGTCGCGGAGTGGTGGTTCGCACACGTGTGAAGGTTGGTGCTGGATGGAGAGAGTCCAGTGTCCCAATTGCTGCTGCCTTCAGGGGTAAAGATCTGTGCTGGGTTGGGTGGCCCTTGGCTGGAGGCTCTTCACGTGGTGAGGGACAGGCCAGCACCCGTGCACTGTCCAAGGAAGGTGGCGCTGGGTATTGTGAAGCCCGTGTGTTCGCCCTCGCACGGGCAGACTGCGGCTGCTGTCAGGCTGCTTCTGGATGTGGGGGCTGCCCGGGTGCACCCCGCCTTCTCCCTGAGCCCCACGGGATGCTCGGGTGGGGGGAGAGGCAGGAGATGCTCCCTGCCTGCTGTAAGATGTGAAAACCCACCTGCTTCCCTGGATGCCTGTCCCTCTCCTGATCTGCAGGTGCTCGGAGAGAGCTCAGATCAGAGCTCTGCTGGCGCCCTGGGCACAGGCCAAAATCCAGGCTCTCACCCTCCCCAAGCCTGGCTCAGGGGCTTGAAACTGGGAGAGCAAGGGCTGTTGGGAGGCTGTGTGGGGTCAGGTAGGGCTGAGCAAGAGGCAGCCTTCCCCACCTGTGACACAGCCCCGCTGCTGGGAGTCCGGTGGTGCGAGGACCTGGGACAGCCCCGCTCCCTCCTGAGGTCGGGTCTGATGTTCTGCTGGCCTGTGGGGTTGAGGGCACCGACCCAACCTCCTGCGTGCAGCCTGGGGAGGGGACAAGCAGCAGCAGCAGGGTCTCCGGGGGTTTGCCTGAACCCTGTGCCCCCTCCTTAGCTGTAGTCACCCTGAGAAGGATGTGGCAAGGGAGAAGTTCCCTTCTTGCAGCCACACTGGTATCGCTGCTGGGGTGAGGAGCGGGTTTGTGCTGCAGCGTGGAGGCTGGGGAGGGATTTCGCATCAGCATGACTTGCAGTCTGCCCTGCCTGACCCTGCCTCAACTTAGCCCGGTGGCTGCTGCTGTCTGGCACTTCACGTCCTTACGCTTGCCTCTCGCTCTGGGCCGGCAGCCAGCCTGACCCACAGCTGCCCCAGCCAGCGCTGCGCTGCTGGGAGATGCTCCGGCTGGAAGCCAGGAGAGGAGCAGGGGGGGAGGCAGGCTCCCTGTTCTGGGAAGCTTTGTCATGCCTGACCCTTCCGTGCTGCTCTAAGGGTGGTGAGAGTGTGGGCTGGTCCCCCTGACCCTGTGACCCGCTGGGGCAGAGCCGTGTCTGCTCCAAGGGGAGAGGTGCAGCGATCGGGGTGAGGGGAAACTTAAGTTTTGGGCTTGGTTGTGGTGGGGTATTTGCAGATGGAGTCGGTGCAGAGAGGCCACGAGGCTTAAGCTGCAGCTGGGAAGCTGCGTAGCCGTCGGGATGTACTGCTGAGGGTCAGGCTGTGCCCTGCCGGGGCTCCCTGCAGCTCGGTGTGGGGCTGCTGAGCTCCGCTGGGAGCGAGGAAGGGGCGAGGCAGCAGGTTGGAAGCTGATGTAGGTCCCTGCCCACGCAGCATCCCGAGTCTCACACCTCCGCTCCGGCTGCCAGGCTGTTCCTGGCATGCACCCCCTGCACCGGTATCGCTCCACGCTGGGGAGCCCTGGCAGGATCCCAGCCCTGTGGAGTGTTTCCTGGCTCTCTGGAAGGAAGGAGGGTGATTTCCCACTGCTTCCACTTATTTCAAGCGCAGAACCTGTCTCTACCTGAGCTGGGCTGGTGGTGGGGTTGGTAGGACAGATCCTGCTCCAGAGCAGGGGCAGGGCAGGAGCCCCTCTAAAGCCCCGCTGCTTTATGCCAGTCTGGCGCGATCCTGGAGCTGTCACGTCAGCAGGATTTGCCTTCCTGATGCTCTGGTGCTCCACAGGACCGGCTGGGCTGGTTCTGGCCCTGCTCCCCCGGGGAGCTGAACCCCTTCTCTCCTCCCATCGCTCTGAGGCGGGGGCAGCTGCTGGAGGCAGCTTGGTCCTGTCGCTGCAGGAGAGGGCCCAGCACACTCGTGGGGGGCCAGAGCTGTGCTGTGCTGGTGAAGACCGCTCTGGGGCGGATCCAAGCATGCAATAGCCTTCCAGGAAGAGTCAGTGGCCTCACAGGGATTTCCCATGCCAGCTCCACTTCACATGGCTGCCCGGTGAGTCACGCAGCCCAGCCAGGCTCCTCGCCGGCAGGCAGGTCAGGGACTGCAGCAAGGCTTGGTACCTCTCCTGGCTCCCTTCCCCTGCTCCATGCACAGCCCTAGGGCTCTGGAAGAGCAGACGAGTGAGGAGGAAGGGAGGGACCCATCCATGGGAGGGATTGTGGACTTGCTATTTAAGGCTCGGCACGGTGCAGCCGGGCTGGTAGGACCCAGCAGGCTTGAGTGCAACCCTGGGCAGTCCCTAGAAGAAAGCGAGCAGCAGAAATGTGCCCTTTCCCTTCCGAAAGCCTGCCAGCCCTCCACTGGGAACAGGGGCACATCCTTTCCCATGGCCCTGTCGTGTCCCCCCCTCCCCCCGCCATCCTCCCACTGATGCTGCTCTGCCCCACAGAAAAGCCAGTCCAGGCGTGCTGCGGCAGCAGTAAAGAGACCGATTTTAATGCACGTAACACCCAACATCACCATGGAAAGGACTTGTCCCTTCCCTCCCAACCCTCTCAGGCCATCAGCTGTGAAACGCAGCCACCCCTGGCCCTCCAGCTGCCTGTGCAGAAGCCAGCTTGGGCTGCTTCTCCATCAGCCATGCTCCTGGCTTCAGTAGTGTCCCCACAGCTTGGTGAGGCCGTCAGGCTGGTCCAGCCTGGAAGCGCTTTTAGACAGCAGAGCGGGTGAAGGCAGGGCCCGGGGCCAGGGAGCGATCCCTAAGGCACATCAGAGCAAGTTTGGAGACGCCAAGACCCCCCCACGAGCCAGAGCCTGGGTCCCCCTTGGCACGCACGTCTCAGTCTATCAGAAACTTCTCACCATCCACGTCTCTCCCCGCAGAGCTCTTGCGCAGGGAGGGGAAAAAATCGGAGCGGAGGAGGCGGGAGAAGTACATGAGGATCATGGTGTCGAGCAGCAGGAGGTTGGCGGTGAGGAAGGCACCCTGGCCCTGCACCTCCACGTAGCGGAGGAAGTACCAGGTGAGGTAAGACTGGGGCGCCAGGCGGAAGGCGAAGTACATCACCAGGTTGACGTACTTGTTGGCCTCGTAGAGCGCCGGGGAAGGCACGTTGCTCATCTTCAGCAGCATGCGGATGGTGAGGAAGATGTTGCTGACCTCCACCAGCAGCAGTAGCATCGCCGCTACCAGGAAGCGGCCTGTGATGATGAGCGAGATGAAGGCAGAAATGGCCTGGGAGCGGGAGGGACACAGCAGGGTCAGCTCTCCTTGCCCTGAGGGAGGCAAGTCCTTCCCCACCAGGGTTTGGGCATATGTGGTGCTGTTGCCCCCCCCCCCACCTAGAGATCCCAGCAGCCCTCCAGACACCTAAGCCAAGGGAAAACCAGTCTGAAGAGCCAGTTTCCCCCACGACCAGTTACAACTCCCTCCGCTGGGGAGCTGGGAGAAGCCTCCAGCTCTTTCCTCGCCCGGTGCAGCAGCCTATCTGGCTCCTGGTGCTCCGAGCCGATGCTGGCAGGCATCCTGCCCTCGCCTTGTTGATGCGCAGCCTACCTGGCAGCCAGGGCGAGGTGGAGGGAAGGGCTCCGGCTTGCCCCACTGTAATGCACGAAACCTGCGTGGGCTGAGCTCCAGGAGTGCGTGGTAGCCCCCCGTGCTAGCCCTTTGCCTCCCTGGAGTTGTACTCACCATGGCATGGTGCACCAGGTACTCCCAGGAGGAGCGGGACTGGTGGTTGAAGATGATGTCAAGGCTGTCATGGATGAAGTAGCCTGTGGGATGATGGAGAGCGTTGAGGGGGTCCGGCTTGCACACCGTCACCTGCTGCGGTGAGGGGGAGCAGCAAGGAGGGGCAGGGTGGCGTGACTGTGCTCCAGGCGCCAGAAACGCCTCCGCCCCAGCTGAGCGTGGGGAGATAGCTGGGCCCCGGGGCTTGGCAGCCTGCGGGCTCCACGCTCGTGATCAAGGCAAGGAAGCGCGGAGAGTCACCCGGGGCTCAGCCCAGGCCAGCGTGCCGGGCGAGGCTGAAGAGGGAGTGGGCAGAGGCCGGGCGGAGTGGCCGCAGCCATCGCCCTGCCTGGCTCCTTACCTGAGG